AGTACAGCCCACTGTTCCCAACACCAGGATCCTGCCCATCCAGAGGTGTGACGAGACCAACCCGGGTCATGGAAGCTCCCTCTCCCTCTTCTGGGCAGGCTTCCTCTGCCCAGGGCAGACACATTATCTTCCTAAAACATGAGATTATTATGAATCTGCAGAGGTTTGAATTGAGTTTAAAGACATGAAAGCAGCAATAATGCTACAATTATTTAATTAGGAAAAATGAAAGATAAGAAGCTTTATCTAATGCTTCAAAATGCAAGCGAGAAATTGCTCCCTCATTCTGAGTAACTGAGAGCCCCACCCTCATACCAGAGACCCCTGACCCCCTTTAGGTTGGCTGCTTCCGAAACCACGTGCCTTCCTGCGGGCTGGGTGCTTCTGAACTGGGTGCCTCTGTGCCCCTCACACCAGAGAGCCCTGCCTCCCTGCGGCTGGGTGCTTCTGAAACGGGGGCCTCTGTGCCTCTGTACGCGCTGCTCCTTCCTTGAGTAGTCCTCCTCCCCGACCTCCAGCTGGGATCATTCCACATAACTGCCAAGGCCACATGCATTTGCCCACCCTCCCGGAGTCCACCTTGGCAGCTCCCTAGGCTAAAGCCCTGGAAACCTCTAACACATCCTAGACAGCATTTGCCAAACTGTCTGAGAAGCAAGTACATCACTCTGATTCTTGTGAGAACAAACCCTGTGAGATAGCCTGCTTCATCTTGGTTTCTGTGAACCCAGGACAGACCCTGGCATTTAGTAAAAGCTTCAAAAACTATCAGCTGGGTGAGGAGAGCCAGGGCTTCTGCTGCAGATACAGCTCTTCCGGTGACAGAGGAGGAAGTAAGTGTAGCTCTAGGGCCCACCTCCAGCTCTAACACCCCACACACAATGGGAGGACCCGTATGAATGAGGGAATGCTGAGTCTAAGAGGAGATACTTAGTTCTGTTATGGAGAAAACATCAGTGGCTGTCAGGAAGCAAAAGTGGGAAGAGGGTGTGATTATAAAGAAATAGTCGTAGGGAGTCTTTGAAGTATCAAAACTGTTCTGTACCAATTAAAACAGACATTGGGGGGGTGGGAAAGAAGAATGAACTGGGGAGGAGGGTGGAGAAAACAGTGCAACAATGAATGAATGAAAACCCAAAATCTCTGTAAATGTTCATTAAAACTAATAAAATTTAATAATAAAAAAAACACCACAACTATTCTGTACATGGATTGTGTGCTGGTGGTTGCTGTTTTGTGCCACTGAGTCGCTTGCAACTCATACCAACCCTATGTACAACAGCCCTAAACTCTGCTCTGTCCTGTGCCAATCTCACTGTCTCTGACACACCTACCCCCATTACCCCAGTCACTGAATCAATCCACCTCATAGAGGGTCTTCCCCTCCTGTGTTATCCCTCCACCCTCCCAAGCATGACGTCCCTCTCCAAGGACTGATCCTGCCTTGCAACATGTCCAAAGTATGTCAGATGAAGCTTCAAAATCCTTGCCTCCAAGAAGTATCCTGGCTTCACTCTCTCCCGAATAAATCTGTTTGTTCTTTTAGCAGACCATGGTATATTCAATACTCTTCTGCAGCACCACAGCTCAAAGGCATCAATTCTCCTTCTATCATTCCTAGTCATTGTCCAGATTTCTGATGTATAGCAAATAATTGCAAAGACCATGGCCTGCATCAGGCACACCTTAGTCTCCAGACTGACATTGCTGCTCTTCAGTCATTTGGAAAAGTCTCTGACAGCAGACTTTCCCAGTAAGATTTGTCTTTTAGTTTCCTGGCTGCTGTTACCAAGAGTGTTGATTGTAGAGCCAAGCAAACTGAAGCTGTTAACAATCTCAATCTCTTCACCATCTATCATGATGCTGCCAATAGGCCCAGTGGTGAGAATCTTTAGTTCCAATTCTATAAACTTGTTTAAATTTATAAAAATGTATACCAAAAAAAAAGTATACCAAAGGAAGATGTGTCAATTTCAGAGATAAAACTTTGAAAATAAACAGTTATAAGATGAAAATTCATCTATTAATGAATATACTATCACCTAACTAGAATTACAGGGGTCCTTTTTTAGTCTGATAAAAATTCTTCACAAAGAATCTGAAATAAACACCAAATTTAATGGTGAATTATTAAACCTTTCCCCTACAGATTAAAAATTAGACAAGAAATCTACAAATTCTGTTTCTATTAACATTGTATCAGTATCTGTCCAGGGCAGTAAAAAAAAAGAAACGCATTGGATGAGGATTAGAGATGAGAAAACACTCATATTAAAGACATACAAATAAATCTGTAGACTTAGCAAGACTTTTAGATACAACATGAATATAGAAAAACAAATAGTATTTCCATATATGGGGGTGCTCTAGTGGCCTGGTGGCAAGAAGCTGTGCCAAAATCTCGAAGGCACACGGTTTGTGGCCACCAGCTGCTTCACAGGAGAAAGATGGGCAGTCTTCTCCTGTGCAATTAACTGCCTCTTAAAACCCGCCAGAGGATCAGGTACAGGCCGGTTCCAACGCTACAGTGCACAACAACAACAACATTTCCATATAGGAGAAATAAAGTCATAGAAAATTTTTTAAAATTTCACGTACCATTTACAATAGGATTACGAAATGCCAAATGCTACAAATAAAAGAAACTGCAAAATTTCTAAGCTGAAAAATTTCAAACAATCTTAAGATACATTAAATAAGAATGAAATTAAATACATGGAGGATCACATTAACTTCAAATGTTAAAGACTCAATGTGATAAAGAAGCCAGTCCCTCAAAATCAGCTCCTGTATCTGATGTAGTATCAATCAAAGCTCCAGCACCATTTTGAATGCTGATGCTCTGATTCTTTTTTTTTTTAATTATATTTTATTAATTTTCATAAACATTTACAGAGATTTTTGGGCTTCCACTCATTCATTGTTGCACTATTCTCTCT